CCTAAGTGATTATGTTGTAGTTGATTGCCGTCTAGACCCTACTGGAGAGACCTTCTTTCGCATGACAGAATACTACCTTGCATGTGGATAGACCCCAGCAAATTCAAATATTTCCTTTTTAGTGTTATTCCTAAGTTAAAGTTTGTGTAATTATATAAAAATTGCCCTTTACACCAACCAGGCAGAGGCCCTGGTTCCTGGGTCATGAGAGCCCCTGTTCATCTTTCCCATGTGCGGGTACAATCTGCTGCCTACCTTGGCTTGGCCCTAGGCTGTTCTCACCCCGTGGTTGGAGTTAGGCCATCTTTGTTGCCCAGACCCTTTGGGAGTAACTGATTTGAGGGTGTGACATCCTCTGAGGCCGCCAGTGAAGGGTCCAGTACGGCTAAGCAGAGTCATCATTCCTGGTACAGCTCTTTGTGGCTGCTCCCCCTCCCCTGACTTGCCCTCCACATGGCAGCTCCCTGTGCACAGGCTCACTCAACCCAGACCAGACCAAAAATCTCCAGAGCCGAGGCTCCGCTCCGAGGATGCAGCTCAGCAGCCCAGAGCTGGCCCTGCAGCAACGTGAAAGGGACCTCTGCTTCTCATGCCTGGTGTCCCTGACCATGGCGGCTGCTGCAGACTCAGCCACCACGCGTAGGGTCAGGAGGAGGGAGATGGACAAAGGCCAAGCCTTTCCTCGGGCATTGCCCTCATCCCTTCTTAGTTTCCTTGTATACAAATTGATTTGAAATTCTGTAGTTAACATCAAAATGCAATGCACCGAGTTGCCATGGAGCAGGAACTGACCCATAGCTTAGCTGCCAGCAGGTTTTCGGAGGTGGTAAGTTGTACAGGAGGAGATTACCCATCTTTCAGCCATGGAGCAGCTGGTAGGTTTGATGGACATCATGCTTGGGAGGGTGGAGGGACAGCGCGGGAGAGGAAGGCCCTCTATGAGGTGGATTGATTCAGTGACTGGGATAATTGGGATGGGAGTGTCAGAGACAGTGCGATTGGCACAGGACAGCGAAGTTTAGGGCTGTTGTACATAGGGTCGCTATGAGTCGCAAGTGACTCGACGGCACATAACAACAACAACCTTCAGGTTGACAGTGCAGCTTCTTATCATTAAGCTACTTGAAACTAAAGAAGTTACTAAGGCTGTAGATGTTGCACTCAGCAGTGTCATGGTAATAACTGGGAGTCAGCCCATGTCAGGGGCAGCTTTGACCATGGGAGAGCAGTGGCACATTGTCTCAAAGTCTGCTCCACAGTACGGGGAGGTTCTTAATACGGGCCAGTGTGTATCCTGAACATCTTTATAGAGCTCTTCACAGCATGACAGCTGGGGTACCCACCCCTCCAGGGTCATGGGAAGGGCTGCACATCTATCACTGCCTTTAAAGGTTGTCATTTTTCTTCAGACACGAAATGTGAGAACAGTAGCATTTGTTGATCTTTCTATATGCTTGCTTTTTAAGCTCAATTTTTAAAAACCCAAAATACCAACTTTGCACCTCTCTGTGGAATACCTGTTTGTCCACCTAAAGCAGTATTTGTTTCTGAAGCAGGTTTCCTGTTTCTTAAGCAAACTTGACACCTATCCCTTATCATTCCCCTGCAATCTAAAGGTTGATTGGAGTCTTGGCTCTAGTTATTGCTGTCAGGAAACTTATAATTGGGCAATATGACTAAGGTGTCTGAATAGGAGTAAAGAAAGCCAGTATCATTTCTCGGTAACCATGGCTGAAAGGGAGCTTAGGTGTCCTAGTGGGAAGAAACTGTGCTGAAATCCTGAAAGCATGAGGTTTGAAGCCACCAGCTGTCCCACAGGCGAAGGATAGACAATCTCTTCCTAAGTGATTATGTTGTAGTTGATTGCCGTCTAGTTGTGCACCACTCTTAGTGACCCTATGAACAGAAGGCCTGAAGCCTTTCTGTAGCTATCATCATTTCTCAAAGTTCATAGAGTTTCCAGAGGCATGTGGTTTAGGAAGTGGAAGCCAGTCCTGCAATTACTGTCTCTGAAAACCCACTAAGAGGGTCAGTTCTGACAACGGTACACAACAACACTCGTGCTTTAGTGGCACGGTGCATTAAGTATTGCACTGGTTAATGATCAGATCACCAGGTTCTCCATGGAAGAAAGCTTGTACAGTCTCTTTCTGTAAAGTGTCACAGGCATGGAAGCCCACTGGAGGGTTAGAATTGGCCTTATGGCAGTGGAATGTTTGTGGGTATGTTTAAATTATTGTTAAAGGTGCCTTGGTGGTGCAGCAGTTTAGCACTTGGCTGCTGAGAGTCAATCCTGTCCCAGGCTGCTACAGGAGAAAAAACCCTGAGATCTGTTCCCCTGAAGATTGTTCCCTGCACAGTAGAAGCATCCTGTAGGATCTCCTAGGCTGTAGTCTTTATGGGAACGGACCGATTGCTAGATTTTTTTTCCTCCTGGAAGAGGAGTGGTTTGTGCGTTCGAACTGCCAACATTTCAGTTAACAGCTGAGCCCTTAACCATTGAGCCACCAGGGCTCCTTCATGTAGAGATTACAGTTGAGAAAACTGCTGTGGGGCAGTTCATTCTGCCACATGAGATCACAAGGAATCAGAAAGTGACTTGATCACTCTGAACAATAGTTATTGCTGACCTCTTCCCATTAGCAGGAGTCTTCTGGCTGATGACATCATCACTGAATAGAGATTGACGAGGGGCAGCCCAGAGCTGCATGCATGGGGTCCATGACGATGGGGGCATCTTTCAACCTGCTAACATAATAGGGCTTTCACAGAATGTCAGTGACCATTGATGTGTCTCTGGAGATAGGACATCTGGTATCTTCTTCTGAAGCTCAGTGGTCTAACTTGCCCCCGTTGTATATTCCCAGACATTGGACCTCTCCAATAATCAGCTGAGTGAGATCCCCGCCACGCTGGCTGACTGCCCGAAGCTCAAGGAGATCCACTTCGAGGGGAACAAGCTGACGGACAAGCGCCTGGAGAAGATGGTGCACGGCTGTCAGACCAAGTCCATCCTGGAGTACCTGCGGGTCGGAGGCCGGGGTTGTGGGAAGGGCCGGGCCAAGGCTGAGGGCTCCCAGAAGGAGGACAGCAGGAAGAAGAAGAGGGAGAAGAAGCAGAAGAAGGAGGGCAGCGAGGGGGAGGAGAAAGACCTGGAGGCTGCGCACAGGCTGCTGGTCAAGGTCCTGCACATCTCCGAGAACCCTGCACCCCTGGTGGTGAGCGTGCACCCCGAGGTCAGGGACGTGCGGCCCTTCATCGTGGGCGCTGTCGTCAGGGGCATGGACCTGAACACTGGAAACTCACTCAAGCGCTTTCTCACTGCCCAGGTAGGACTCGCCCCTGTCTGCAGCTGGGGAGGGGGCCTAGCAGGCGGGAATGAAGTGATCATGCTAATAAAGAGGTGATGGGCGGTAGCGTCTCAGTCTCCTTCTGTGAGAACGGAATCAGGCAGAACACAGCACAGCAAGTGTAAAGGGGCTGGTATTAGGTGACATAAACCCCCATCTGTGAGCCCCCATCCTCATCACAGGAGCTTTATAAAACGGCATATGGCTCAGAAATCCGGAGCACACCTCTCTCCCGGTTTTCATTTTGTGTCTTTATTTTGTTCCTGAGAACATGCACAGTGAAACATGTTGTCAGGTGCTGAGATGTCAGACAGCGACCCTGTACACAACAGCGTACTTTGTCCTACGCTGTCTGACATGCTCCGTCGAGCCCATTGTACACTCCATTTCCCCATGTCCTGTTTGGAGATACTGCTACATCTTTCAGCTAAGCAACCACTGGATTTGTGTCATCCTTTTCTGAGTCATTTCTGTCCCATTCACTGCCCCAGGGTCCTGTCCCATCGTCCAAGTTGCTGTGCTGCTGTTTTGATTTCCCTTAGATGGCTTGTAAAAGAGCATAATGCTCAAGGCATACTTTGTATTAGTTAAGCTGAACTGTTGGCTAGGTTTTGAAAAGACTTTAGGGGAGATTTTTTGTATAAAAATGCTTTAAAAAGCATCTTAGGACAATCATTTAAGGGCACCATCCGGCCCCCGTGACTCCAGAAAGGAGTGTGGCTGGAACAGACATGGCAGATCCCGACCGTAGTTCATGTTGCATCCTGCCCAGGTCAGAGATCAGCCACTTGCCTGAGAAGACGGCTTGACTGGAGCTGAAAGTCATTGTTCTTGAGTTTTCTGATGTTCTGGTAGATTTTCTGGTTTCTGCAAAAAAACTATGCATTATTTTTACGTGTTGTTGGGTCCCATCAAGAAGTCTATGACCCACAGGAACCTTGTAAAAAACAGATCTGCACCCTGCCGCATCCTGTGCCATCCTCACCGTCTCTGGTGTACTTGAGTTCATGGCTGCAGTCAACACATCAGACCATGTTATTGGGGGTCTCCCTCTCTTTCTCTGATCTGGGTGTGTGCGTGGTTAACGCACCCTGTGACTCTTTGAAAGCCGATGGTTTGGTCCACTCAGCGGCACCTTGGAAGAAAGGTCTGGAGATCAGCTTCCAGAAATGCAGCCATGAAAAACCCTGTGGAGAACGGTCCTCTGTGGCACATGGGAGGTCACTGTGGGTTGGGGTCAGTTTGATGGCTTTTTTTCCCACTCTTGATGAAAAGCATCACCTCTTTTGCCATTTGGCTCTTAGGTGGATGGTCTCTTTATAGGTTCTGGCTAGACTAATATTTTTTTTATATATATTTGTTTTTCTATAAAGTCTGTCTTCGCCCAGCTTAAAACACGCCTCATGAAACGAGGGCCAAGCCAGTACAGGGCCTTAGGCCAGCGGAAGGTGGTGCCTCTTCAGCTCAGAGCGCCCCTTCCTTGAGATTGAGGGTGAAGCAAGCAGGGTCATCCGGCCAGCTGTTAGAGTTCAGGGTCAGTGCTGGGGATGAAAAGCGTGCTAGGGTTCTTACTCATTTAAGTCATACTCATTTATTCAGTCATAAATCTTACTAGCCCATGATTGGTTTTCCAGACTTTGAAATCCTGTATTCTAGAATCAGAGAAAGAAGAATTGAGCTGATGAACAGACAGTTTTCCCGAATGAGTCCCCCGAATAAGTCCTTGGTGAGCAGGGCAGAGGAGAGAGCCCCAGGAGGCCTCGCTGGTGGTGGGAGTAAGGTGGTAAGACGCCTGGTGCTGAGGAGCAGGCAGGAAGTCAGCTCCCTTTGTGTGCAGCTCGGGCCCAGGGCCTCTGCCCGCACCTCCGCTCCTCCACGCTGAGCTGTGCCGTTGCCCCGACCTTGTGTTCCAGACGAAGCTCCACGAGGACCTTTGCGAGAAGAGGACAGCGGCAACCATCGCCACCCATGACCTCAAGGCCATCCGGGGGCCCCTGCAGTATGGAGCCCGGCCACCACAGGACCTCAAGGTGACGTGATGGGCACGGCCACTTCATGGCTCAGAGCTGGGGCTCTGCCCTCAGGGAGGTCCAGGAATAGTACATGTCTGTGTAGATAAATTAAAGTAGAACTTGTTGCCGCATAAAATGTGTTCCCGTGGGTGAGCAGGGGCCCGGGTTAGAGCTCCTTTGGGTAAGTAATTGCCTAGAGCACTGAATATGGAGCGCTAGTGGAAAGTCATTTTCTTTCTTTTGCTCGCTCATTGTTACTAAGAGATTTGGGCCCAGTGGCAGCAGCCCTGGTGTGGGTTTACTTTTGTGTGAATGGATCCTTAGCAATCCTGCTGTGTCTGCCAGGCTGGTGCAAGGTCCTGGGGTCCCTGGGGCATTGGAGGTCTCCAGGCTTCTGTCCTGTGGACTCATGCTGAGTCCATCCCTGCCTGGCTTCCAGGTTTACAGAAGTTCACGCATGTATAGGCTGATTGAAGGTTACACTTAGTTTTAAAGGTACTTGAGTGCTTGGGTTTCTTTGTACCCAAGGAGACCCCTGGAGGCACCCTGTGCACTAAACTACTTTCTGGTCAGGTGGCTACATGGTCCTCCTTGGTCAATGTGAATCCTAGTCAATCACCAGCTGTCCCCAGTGTCTCTTGATGAGGAAAGGAAGCAATGAGTGTGATGGAACATGTTTAAAAGCAGGGTCCACAGCACAGGCAAGTCTGTGGCTATCATTCTAAGGTGGCTGGTAATCTTTTCATAAAGGTTGACTGTGATTTTTCTACCCTGGTAGATTGTCCCCTTGGGCCGACGAGAGGTCAAGGCCAAGGACCTGGTGCGGCAGCTGCAGCAGGAGGCTGAGGAGCAGAGGAAGCAGAAAAAGAGACAGAACATCTCGGGCCTGCACAAGTGAGTCCCTGTGGTGAGGGAGCAGTCAGTGGCTGTGGTCCAAGAGGACAGTGTGGCGTGAGGCAATGGGAAGTGGTGGTAACTGCTTAGTGGGCCCTGATGGGTACTGACACACAGAGGTGGAGAGCTCCCTCAGGAAACCAGGTGGTGACAGAGTCCCTGAGTGGGGTGGTGTGTCGCATCACTTTGCTGGTACCTGGGAGCTGCCCTCCTCCGCCAGCTGTAGAAAGTCCAGAACCTGTCCAGAGCATGAGACTCCCGTTGATCCCAGTTACCACAGTGCAGGTGTACCTGCTGCATTTTACGCAGACTCTGCTGGGACGTAGCAGAAGTCCTGAGCCTGCTCCCACCAGCCCCTGAGGTAGTGAGTGCCTGGCTGCACTGATGCTGACGCATGCGGGTTTTGGAACACTGCTTTCTGAAGCATGTTAAGCGTGTGCTCGTGGCCTCTTGCCTAGTCCATGTACAGACTCTTGTTTATGCACTGTGGCCTTCCACTGTGTCTATTGATGGTTATGTCTGCGCTCTGTGTCCTCTCCACACAGATACCTTCACTTACTGGATGGGAAAGACAACTACCCGTGTCTCATGGATGCAGACGGCGACGTGATCTCCTTCCCGCCCATCACCAACAGCGAGAAGACGAAGGTGGGGGCTCCATGTTGTATATTCACACAGGGGTGCATGACAGAGCATCCAGCTGAGAAAGGGGTGCGCTCAGGACCCTGAAGTGTGGGCTTTCAGGGCCTTGGGTCACTGGTCCAGGGAGTGGTTCACTAAGAACGATCACTGTGCAAGATTCCATATGCGCTCATCCTAGAAGATGACGGATCAATTTTACTTGAGAGCGTATGTGTGGTTGCTGATGTTCAATCTTGGATACCTTTCTGATTTATTGTTTTGGGTTTTTGTTAAAGATTAAGAAAACCACTTCAGACTTGTTCTTGGAGGTCACGAGTGCGACGAGTCTGCAGATCTGTAAAGACATCATGGACACCCTCATTCTGGTGAGTAAGCCCTGTCACCAGAGCCACGGGGACGATGCCTGCGTGGTCTCTGCGCGTGGATGCCGCTGGTACCACTCTGAGCCACAGAGGAGCGTGTCCTCCCCAGGCTACCCGTAACCTCCCGACTCAAAAGACATTTTTTATTTGCAGAAAATGGCAGAACTCAACAAATACACGATAGAAAATAAAGATGAAGACTCCATCTCAGAGTCTGAAACCAATGCTGCATCTGGACAGTTTACGGATCCAAACACTAACCAAAGTGCCGCAAAGGACGGGACGTCCCCGCTGATAGTAGAACAGGTCCGGGTGGTGGACACAGAGGGGGCCTTGAAGGTGGTGTATCCTTCAAAGACAGACCTGGACATCGCTCCGTCCCTCCTCACTGTGATCCGCTGAGCTCCAGGCCCCGACTTCTCCACACCAGCAGCCGCTGTCAGATTTTGCAGTTGGTTTTGCTTATTTTAAAGAGGTTTCTACGTGATGATGTTAAATTATTCATGACGTTTTCACCTGCATATTTTTTTAAGCTATGTGTACTGTTGGCTTGGTCCTCCAGACGGTCTGATGTCCAGTGACCCTGTGTTCTTGTGTGCCTAAGCTGTTTGCCTTTACAGAGCCCACCTGCCAAACTAACATGGACTGATGTCTCCCATGAAATCGATGTGTTGTTGGAGAAGGCTCTGCAATCATGTAGACCCACAGCAGAGAGGCTCTGGGTCCGGAAGCTGGACTCTGGACTGATGGGCATACTGACCCCGGGACAGAAGTATACAACTATTTTTCTATGATGCACACCTGCCTAGATCTTCCTGGGCCAGTCAGGCAGCTCCACAGCGTTGAATGACGTTACGTTCTCTGCCTTGGCGTAAACCAGTGTGTTTTTGTTTTTTGTGGGTTTGGGTTTTGCTTTTTACCAGTATGTTTTCCCCTTTTTAGAAAATCAAGAAAAATACAACCTCATTGTTGTTGTTATGTGACATCAAGTCGGAACTGACCCCCAGTGGGTTTCCAGAGTCAGTAAACCACATGGGAAGAGGCGGCCCATCCTTCTCCCGCAGAGTAGCTGGTCAGTTCGAACTGCATGCCTTTGGGAGTGCAGTGCAGCTTTCTAGCAGTAGGCCACCAGAACTCCCCTTCCTGTGATTTTAGGATTGTTAAAATCATTTTTCCTGTTCTTGGTGTTTTCTTTTGGAGGAGAGGGGAAGAAGTTGGCTGAGATGTTTCTGTAGATGGGCAGCTCTCTCAGTTTGAAAGCAGTGGTGTGGGTGAAGAGGAGTCGTGTGCCACTGCTATCACTGGGCTAAGAGAGGCTGACAAGGGCCCTTCGCATTGTAACTCTGCCCCGACTGGTACAGAGTTCAGTGATCAGCAGCAGAGAATGCATGTCATTTTTTTAAGCCCCAAAACTATCAAGTGAGCTTGCCAGGTGCACGGTTCTTCCACATTTTAGGTTTCTCTCGTTTCTGGCTATCCTGAGCCATAGGACGTCTGTGTGTGTGTGTGTGTACAGTACGTGTCCAGCGCACACACACCTGCCTGGGGTCAGGAGAGGCCCAGCCAACAGCATGGAAGGTGGTTACTGACCTCACTGCCTTAACGTCTGGCTGGAATCTGAAGTACTCAGGTGATCACACTGATGGGTAGAACCATGTTTTTGGCGCACAAAGAATGATTCTTGTATTTTGTGGGAGAAGCCAGCCCCCTACTTTGTGAGACCCAGACTGACCCATTTGGCAGACCCTGACCGGTGCTCCCAGTCATTTCCAAGCCTCTCAGTCAGTCCACTGGAAGTGACAAGTCCTCCCTGTCTTTTTGCCCTCTGCCCTGTCAGCGCCCTGTCAGCGTGTATTGATGGCTGTTTTGTCACCTCATGGTGCCCTAGGCTGGGACCTGGCCCCAGGGTGGGTCACAGCAGTCACTTGGTAAAGTGACTTTGTGATAGAGAGGTGACCTTTCTCTCAGGGCTGAATATGTTGAGTGTCAGCCGCCCCTCCTGCCAGGGTTTCTGAAGCACCTGCTCAGAGGTCTGTAACCTCAGCGTATTGATTGTGTCTGCTCGAGAACTGCCAGCATTTGTTCCTTTCTGATACAGCTTGATTGGGGGGGGGGGGGTTGGAGGTGGGTTCTTTTTTAATGTCCGTGTGATCCTGGAAGACCTGTAATAAATGTACAATGAATCCGTTTTATCCCTTTGTCCCGTGAGTCTTTTCCTGTGGAGATTCCAGGGCTGGTACTGCCGTTTCCTTTTAGGTGGGGAAGCTGAGAACCTGTGAATTGCTGTTTGATGCCTCTTCCTTCCCAAGCCATTTGTGCCAGCAGGCCGTCAAGTACTTGCTGTCAGACGCTGCCCAGGGATGCCTGCCCCCTAGACTCCTGTCTTCTGACGACCAGCCACGGCCACTCCTCCCTGCTGGGACACTTCTTATTGTCTCTGGGTTCAGGCTGCCCTGGATGCCTGTCCCAACACCCCCAGAGGCATCAGCACCACTCCAGGCCCCAGCAGATGTTCCTTTTTGCCCTGAATCCTCCTTGGGAGCAACTTGGCACCTTGACCGCTCTCAGTCCTTCCAGGGGTGCAGAGGCCCTGCCTGGCCAGGACATGGGCCAGGAAGGTGTGGCCCTGCATTTGTCACCTGTAGTCCTGGCCACTTGCTAGACAGGCCTGGGGTCATCTCATGGGGCAGCGAAGGGCTGAGCCCCTTGGTCTCAGACCCCAGCTGTGGTCGCCTTGGAGAAAAGGCACGGGTGCGGACACTCTGCATAGTTTCATCCACGCCAGAGCAGCTGGCTTCTGACTGGTGGTGACCACGCCTCTCCTGGCCCACACAACTCCTTGCCCATTAAGCCTCTGGAGCTCTCTCCTGTAATTAAAGCTCTTTGAAATTTAATCAGTGAACCCATTTAGTTATGAAAGATAAAAATCTGGGTCTTAATCACTGAAATTCCTTCTACTGACCCTCTTTGTTTTTATTATTATTATTAATTTTAATAGACATTTACAGAGGTTTTGGATTTCCATTCATTCTTTGCCGCTCTTTTCTCCCTGCCCACCCCTCCCCACCAGCTTGCTCCCCCCTCCAAAGAGAACAAGAAAAAAAAGCCTTCATTAGTATACAATTCTTAAGATTTCTGCCTTTACACACATCCCTTATGTTGTTACTAGGTGCTGACTCATCACAGCCCTTTATCTCTACAGCATGCCTTTTTTTTTTTAATGAAAGTTTGCAGAGACATAGGATTTCTAGTCACTGGAAAGTGATTGTTGTACTTTACCGCCTACCCACCCCCTACCCCCCAATTCACTCTTCTTGAAAAGCAAAACTTCCATTGTTATGCAGTCCCTCCCCCCAAGTCCATTCCACTATGCAGCCTTCACTCTGGACTACTGTAATGACAAGAATACCCATTCATATATCCCCTTTAAATCGTTCTCTCCCTCATGTGTTTCAATGGAATAGACATCATTCCTCCCCTCCCTTTCTGTCTGTCTTCCCCCAACCCTGATGTAAGTCTCGTTTTACAACAGTGGCCCTATGCAATATTTGTCTTTTTGTGACTGAGATATTTCACTCAACATAATGTCCTCCAGGGTCACCCATTTTGCAGAATATTTCATGTGTTCCTTGTTTTTCAGTGCTGCATAGTATTCCATTGTGTGAATATACCACAGCTTCTCTATCCTTTCATTTGTTGATGGGCACTTGGGTTGTTTCCAGCTCTTTGCTATTGGGAACAAAGCCACAATAAACATGGGTATGCATAGGATATCTTGTTTAAGTAGAAAAAGTGAACATATATATTAACAAACCCAAATATACCTCCTCTGTGTGGTAATATAAGTAGAAAAAAAAAGTAAATTTGCATTAAAATACCTCAGTATCGGACACCAAAAAAATCTTGGAAATATGCAACAATGAATGAATGCAAATCCAAGTTCTTAAGCTTATAGCCACAAACTCATTATTGTTGAAATCTTTCTCTCCCTCTAGTTGTCAAGTCAGAACCCGCTCACTGCTGCCCCTCCAGTGGGCTATCGGAAGCTCTGAGTTGCCTGGGAGGAGACTGATTGCCACCATTCCTGAGGGGCAGCTGGATGGCTGAGATGCCAGGGAAGCGCTGGCTTAGCCTTAGCCGTGCAGCCCTCTCTGTACGACACCACTTTCATACAAACTTAAATAATGCTTTTTCAGTCTGAGGTTTTATTTCCTGACTGGCTGGCTGCTGGTACTAAGAGTGTTAACTGTAGTACCAAGCAAGTCCTCTGGCTCTTCTCCATCCAGCATGGTGCAGCCCCTTGGCCCCGTGGTGAGGGTTTTTATTTTTCTTATGTTGAGCTTCAATCCACAATGAAGATTACAGTAATATCCAGCCTCAGAAACCCACTGGAGGGTCAGTTCCTATTCGGCGGCAATAAGTTGTGTACAAGCTCGTAGTTGACCCTCCAGCAGGTTTTCAAAGGAAGGAAATCTCACAGGAGGAGATTGCCTTTCTCTTACAGAGCAGCTGGTGGATTCCAACTGTCTGCCTTTAGGTTGGCAGCACTGCTCCTTACCATCAAGCCACCAGAGCTCCCTTGAATTAAACAGCAATAAGACTTCGGACATTTTTAATCTGTTTCTTGCTTAAACTTGTCCCAACTTTGGATGTTATTTCATTGTGACTATTTTTTTTAATCTTTTAAAACTCTACATTAGAAAAAAACTTGTTTATGGTTCTTTTTTTCAATTTTAATGAAAGTTTACAGACTTTGGATTTCCATTCATTCATTATTACACTTTTCTCCCTGCCTAACTCCCCCCTAGTTCACTCTTCTCTTTGAAAATAAAAGAAAAATTATTTTGTTGTTATATGGTCCCGCCCCTCAAGTTCACTCAACTATGCAGGCTTTGTTTTGAAAAGTAAAAGTTCTTTCATTGTTACACAATCCCTCCCTCCCCCCAAGTCCACTCCACTATGCAGGCTTCTTTTGAAAAGTAAAAGAAGAGCGCTGCAGCGCAAGAACGAGGCCCCCAGACGGGAGAACGCCGCCGCCAGACGGGGTTCCACCGCGAGAGGGACCTGGAAGAGACCCAGGAAGAACAACAGCCAGCCACCTACCATGGAACTCCAGAGGAGCGAAGACTACCTGACATTGTGTGACCCCCCCCTGCAACCCACACCTTGTGACCCTTAACACACAGGGTGCTGCTGCATAAACCCCCAGCAGCGCCCA